TAATAGTTTGTGTAGACCTAAACTTTCTCAAACATTTCACTGCACTGTTGTCTAATAATTTGTAACGGGTTAAAATATATATTATCACTGGAAGGTCGAATGTATGAATCCCTGTATGACATAAATTAAATATGTATTTTTAGAAACGTCATAACTTTTCAAAATTTTTTTTTTGTCAAGTATAACATAAATTTGCTTTTTTCTAGTATGTTTTAGATTACATTTTAATTTAAGTTTCAACTTGAACTTAACGAAATTAAATAATAATAATAAAATTAAATTAAATTTGAACTAAATTAAATAATTTTTTATTTCAAAAAAAAATAATATTTAGGCGATGACAGGTTAATACCCATGTTATGCTAACCACTATCAATGCCAGGAGGAGAGAGAAATGTAGAAAAAACATATATTTTTTTTACGGTTTTCAAAAAAAAAAAAAGAAGAAGAAGAAGAAGAACTATTAAGTTTTAGTGATCGGTATATTAAGTATTTTACGTAAAAGAACTATCAATCAGAACCATTTCGATGTGATTTGATTTGGTTTGACTTCGTACTCATTTCAAATTAACATATTACTAGAATACAACTCAAAAGTGTCCTAGAATATTTGGGTAATCTCTAAAAAGAACAAACCCTCCAAAAATTATTCTGAAAAAGAAAAAAAAAACAAAGGAAAAGGACCAAACAGTAACATTTGTACTCACAGCACCAACAAAAAAGAAATTAATGAAAGCAATCACATGAAGTTGAAATGAAAGTGAACAATGGGGATGGGGCAGCCCCTTCCATGGTTGACCTTAAAAAAACCAAATTGCCCACTTAGGGCATTGCCCTTTCTCCTTCTTAGATTGGCCAATAGCCTTTTGCCACCTTCTACAATCTTACTTGTCTTTTTTTTCCTCTCCTTTTTATCCTTTATGTAGGGTTTCTCCAATTACGCATTACAAGTTCTGGTCACGAGTTTGAATCTTTATTTTTTTATTTAATTTGTAATATTTTATAAATATTAGATTTGTTATTTAAACTATGTTACAAGACGATCGTAAAGATGAAAGTTTTATTTATTTGGTTTGTGGCATATACTAAATCAAGATTAGGTTGGATGATCATTTAAGAAAAATAAAAGTGGGTTGTTTCTATTTGTCTTGGTAGTTTAGTGCGTGTTCGGGATGACTTTTAGTATAATTACTTTTTTTAAAAAAGAAACACATTTTTCTATAAGTGCTTTTAAAAAAATTATAATTCACACTTTAGCAGGGTGTGTTGCTAAGTGATTTTGGAGGATTAAAAATTAAATTTTAAAAGATCTACAATGTTTGATTATAAATAAAAAGTACTTTAAAAAAATCAAATTAGTTTTAAACTACTTTTTAAACAAACATTTGAGAGATGATCATCTGACTTTGAAGTTATTGATACGCGCCCCCTTTACTAATAAAGGAAAGAAAGCCTCAACCAGAACCACATTCCTTTTGCGTGCGGATGTAGCTAAGTGTCTGACTCTATTGRTCATAGTTCCCTGCTGTTGCGGCCGGTGCTCGTTTGCGCGCGCGTGATCCAACCCAACAAACAAGGAAAGGATGCCTCTCGGGGCATCTGAGAATGATTCGAGCTGTATGAAGGGAAACTCTCACGT